AATCCGCGAGATTTTGAAGCCTTTCTCCAGCGTTCTTCAAAATTAGCAAGCACATCATATGCAGCTGGACCATCAATCTTGCTGTGGAGATCATGCCATGGCTCTCTTGGTCCATCATCCGCAGTAGTCTAGTACCAAAAAACAAAGTTCTTCACACTGAATCTATAACTAACATAGAATTTAAACAGAACTTTTCTTGAAAGATTACCAAAAAGTTTGGGTTATGGAAGTCATCCTTATGGAGTGTCTTTAGTGTCCTGAAGAGAGGATGCTTGGGAGTATCAAAACGTCCGTTGCACACGTCTAGCCCTCCAACAAACGCTACAATCTTTCTTCGGTTCTGATCTGCATCAGCATCTACAATCACAGTTTTCTGATGATGGGTGTAGATAGTTCCAACTTCCTGTTCATCGAAAATCACATTCAAGGACTCAGATGATGAAGCTATACATAAAAGGGAATTTAAGCAGTAATGCAGTAACTATAGAGAATCTTACAGATTTCTTTATGAAGCTGTGACCTTTCCCACCAGACCTAGGGCAAAGAAGAACTTGCACTGAAGAATGCTTGAAGAACCGCCGAGTCTCTTCGTCGCTTGTGTTCATAACTCCTTGCTACATGCAACCAAACACCAGCTTTCATGTCAAACAAGATACTCTCCAAGAGGCTTAACAACATGTACATAAACAGAGAGCCATCATCTTATTTTAGGTAAAACAAATAGAAATGTTTGTAAAGGGAAACATATCCATTCGACAAATAGACTGACTGTTGCTTCAGTTAGAGCTACACAAGATATAGTCAAAACAAAATCATACTCTCCAATAAGGTTTAACAACATGTGCATAAACAGAGAGCCTTCATCTAAACTACTAGCTGAAGAATATAACATATAGCATCTATATATAAAACTATAACATGTTCACATTGTAGAAACCTAATCTTTTACTAGCACATAGTTAGTAGGATATGCAGTGAGAACATCTGAAAAAAGCTTATTCAAGGTAAACAAAAATCGAAATGTTTTGAAAAAGGAAACAAAACAGAGTTTATGTAGTGTAGATTCTTACAGTTTTGAACCCCAGAAGGCTTCTTGAAGTTGGATCATCCCACACCAAAACCAACACTCTAACACCTTCTTGAGACTTAACTTTAAGCAAATCCCCTAAAGTACCCTCTGTGGGATCATTACTACGCCGAACCAGCCTAACTGGATGATAAACCGACCAACCAGTAATATAAACCAATCTCCTCGCCTGCCTAATCGCATCAGCCATATCCTCCCAACACTTTCCATGCCTATACTGCATACCACCATCAAGATACACACTCGGAAGCGTACCATCATCAACATGAGCATCCTGATACAGAGTAACCCTACCCCCTTTCCTCAAAGGGAAGTAAGTACCGGGAACTCCAACACACTCATTACCAAAACCAACACCCATTTGATAAATCCTCATCCTCTCCATTGGAGTGTACTGAATTGACAAACTCAACACAGCACCCGGTTTACAAGGCTTCCCACTACTGTTCAGTATAGGGAAAAACCCTTCGATTCTATTCCCTGAACACAGCTGTTCCGTTGGGATTCCGACAGCTCCCATGATCTGTGAACCAATAATGTCACTGTCTTTGACCACAAAGTGGACTTCAGCAGCACTATGAGCCACGGGGACATCGAAATGCTGCATCCACACAGGGTTCTCACTGTTGCTGATCACGAAGGTTCTGCCTATCACAGCGCCTGAGATAGAGACGGTGACGTAAGGGTCACTAGTGATCTTGGAGGGCTTCTCCTCTTTAGTACTGTTCCTCCTGGTTAAACCGGATAACATCCCACCGAGACGGTTATGGAAACCGTCCATGTTTGGAAGGTGTTTGGCCTCTTTAACCCATATGTCTAAGTTACCATGCAACAACTCTACTCTTAAAGATCCGCTACTAGTGGGAAAGGGCACTGGCTGCTGGCCGAAACCGTGGCTTGACCCACCTCCCATTGATAAGGTCTCGGTGTAAATGGGATGATGCGCCATCACTAATAGTTGAGACTTTGAGTAGTCTGATCAAAACCCACAACGCAAATGAGACTAAGGATCAAACCCTTTGGCGGGGAATCAAAGATTGAGATGAAAGATCAAAGCTTTAATGAGAGAGATCTAAAAAGATGTGATCTTTGGAGAGAAGAAGGTGAGAGGAAAGGAAGGGAAGGGTTGACTTGAAACGGAAGAATCGGAAGAAGTGAGCTGTGAATCTAAGATCTTTGGCTGCCGTTGCTGACCCGTTCTCATTAATGACCCACTTAATACTTAATCTGATTTAATTTAGTGACCACTTCACACTATTAATTAAAATTAATTTATTTATATTAATGCTAGTGCGAAAAAGACATCAAGTTTGGTTCGGCTGCTGATGATGATAGTTGTTTTTGATCACTGTTTATATCAAAAAGTAAACATTCGACACCATTATTGAAGTTAGACCATACTATAGGAGATAAGTTAACAAATCCTGACGTTTTCTATTAGTGGGAAAGAAAGTTTCATGGTTGAAAATTTTATTTAATTAAGAACCATAGTTTTCAAACAGCTCTACAGATGGTATATATAATGAATTCAAATTAAATCACTTGTGGTCCGAGCAAATATCATAGGGAAAATAAAGAAATACGAATTTATAAAGAACTAAAAGTTACATCATCAAACAGATGTACTATAAAGTTGAATAGAGGTCTGAAAATATCAAATACTGTGTTGAATATTTTTTTTTTAATTTCGACTTAGTATTCTAATTAGTCATAATGATAAATTTAAAACGTAACATAGCTAGACAGTATATAAACACAAAAATATAATTTTATTAAATAAATAAATAAACTGAATCTTCACTGTTTAGTTATGAATATTGCAGCGTTATATTATTGATATGCTATTGGATATATTAATCTAAAAATTTCATCACCTCTTAAGAAAACACAAAATCATTTTAAAATAAAACAATAGTTAGAGTTAAACCACCATCATCAGGTTGAGGCACAACTTTTTGGTTATTGCCGCTACCACACCAAAACCAAAACCTTTTTTTTTCTAAGTTTTTTTTTTTTTTTTTTGACAACGAACGGCTGATCTATTACTTAAGTTTGAGGTGGTCTGGAAATCCAGACCGGAATAGAACAACCAACAAACATGAGATTCCGATAAAAGGATCGGGCAGTCTTAGTTAGGTGATCACCTTTTTTTTTTCTAAGTTCAAGAGAGAACTAGCTAATATATAAATATATATGTTTAACCTTACTAAAATAGCAAAAAAAGTTAGACATGTCATCAAGATATTAACAAAAAAAAACTGAAAACTTTTCATTAGTCATTCACAAACATTGGATGAAATGTTTTGAAGTGATTTGATCGAATATGTAATTAAAAAAGTAACTAGGAAAATGAATTACACTTAGATCACTCGTGGCCTTAACAAATAATCAGTGTCTCACAAAAAATATATAAAAAAAAATGCTAGCTTACATCAAACATAAATATACAATAAAAATTCTATAAATTAATACTAGATAAATTAATAACTACTGTAAATTAATAGAATTAGCTGGTTCCAAATTGGACCGATGTAAAATATGACATAAATTAATAAAATAGTTTTAAAAATTCTTATGTTAATATATGATCACATTAAAATTATTAATCAAGAATTATTGTATATAGAATTATTCTAATGTTTATATAAACATAAAAAAACATTATATTGCTTTTCTTTCTTTTACATTAAAATTAATCTATAATTTTTATTTATATTTCAAGATTTTGGTGTTATTTTATCAAATGACATAAATTATCTTTATGTATTAGGATATGTAATTTCATACTCTAAAATTCATCAAATAATCTATAAAAAGCGAGAAAATCTAAATTCTCATAATTTAATTGATATACAATATTAAAAATCTAAAAAAGTTTCGTTAAATTAATAACTTTATAAATTAATAAATTATCATAGTCATGTTATCATTAATTTTGATAGTTTTTACTGTTGTTTGAAACTGAATAGGTTTGGTCTTTTTTGAAAAGGAAGACTAACATATTTGTATAATTTTCTTGATTTAGTATCCTAAAACTGAATTAGGTTTATAAAAACTAGTTACATTCAAATTATATTAGTTCAGTTTAGTTAGAAAATTTTGTTTCTTAAAGGGGATCTTACCTCTTATTAGGGATGTTCAGTCCGGATGTCGGTTCAGTTTCAGTTTGATTTTTTTTTTTGGTTTTTCGGTATTCCGGTTTATTAAAATTAGCTACCATATTATACCATATCTATTTTAGTTTTTCGGTATTCAGTTTCTTCGGTTTTATACCAAAAACCATAACTATATTTACTTTTTATGGTAAATTTTAGTTTATATGATTAGAAATCAGATTTATTAAAACATAATATGTATAAATATATATATATATATATATCCCGTATTCTAATTTTAAACTAGAACATCTTCTTTTGCATTTTTTCTATTAAAAATAAGAAAAATATTATTATCATAATATTATTAAATAACTAGATTTTCCTACACATATTTGCAAAAATATGTTTGATTTTGATTTAAGAAAAATGATTTTTTTTTAACTAAAACAAATAAAAAATCAATAAAATCAGTGCTATAAATATGAATATCATATTAATACAAATCCAAAAGGCTTTCTTTATTTTGGTTCGGTTTGATTTTAATTCGGTTTACTAGATTGAACACCCTGAGTTAACACAATGAGATTACAGTCGTTTAGAAATTGAATCCGGACACAACGACAACACTAGTCAATACAAAGGATGAGATGAAAAAAGTTACCTCTATTTCTTTCCACTACACATGCGGTTTTGATAAAACTTTCTTCCGCGTTTGAGCTTTGTAAAAACAAAAAGCTTACCACAACCTTTTTGCTCAATGGGATTAGTTTTATAAAGGTTAAACACACCAACAAGACAGAAAATAAAATAAAGAGATGGCGGAGGAAGAAGAGATAAACCCTAATCCGGTCTACCTAGTTCCCGATACTCGAGTCGAGGAGGTTCACGGAGAGGAGGCGTACGATGAATGCTCAAGCGAAGAAGCCGATAATCATGGCCGCAGGAGGAGGAGAAGGAGACCGAAACGGAATCCGACAAAGGAGGTTCCAAGGGGACGAAGAGGTCAACATTCTCTATCTACACTCCAATGTTGCCTCACGACCGTCACTACCATGCGACAGTCTCGTTTGCGTCCCCGTACCAGGTTGGGTCAACGTTTTCAACCCTTCCACCGCCGAGTTTCTTAGATTCCCTTCCAGCCCAGATCCAGTGAAGCCCACTTATGCTAATCCTAGCTTAGATAAATATAATTTTTTTAAATTATTATTAATTCATTTATAGCTCTCTCTGAATTAAAAAACAAACTTGAATTAAAATCGCAGATTCTTTATTTGATGCATTCCCTGGATACTGGAGGATGGGGTTTGGTTGGGACGATATCACTGGGAGCTATAAAATAGTGAGGATGTGTTCTAACGTTGATTGGGAGATTCATCGTTGCGAGATTTTGGATGTTAACATTGGGAGATGACAGGAGCTGAGTCCACCTCCTTATGAGATTGGATACAGAAGGAGGTCGACGTGTGTGAATGGGTCCATCTATTGGGTCGAAGTAACTCCTCGGTACAAACTCTTGGCGTTACATCTTCACACGGAGCAATGGCGTGACATTAGCTTGCCGTCCGAAGCAGTTCAGTTCCAGACTTCGTGCCAGGTAACAAACCTTGAGAACCGTTTAGTGTTAGCATCGACTTATCCTAAGGACAAGTATTGGAACGTGAAGATTTGGGGTATGAATAATAATGCAACGTGGAGTTTGATTTACTCGATACGTTTGTTACCTCTTGAGGAGGAACATTTTCATGGCGATTTTTTCCATTTGTGGTTCTGGACGAGGCCAGTGGTTATTTCTAAGGAAGGGAATCTTTTCATCCATGACAATAAAAAAAGGTTGTTCAAGTATTGTCCGGAGACGGATGACGTTTGTTGCGTCGCTGAAAATGTTTGTGTCATATCTCCGTTTGTTGAAGATTTGATCCCTTACACGGAAAATGAGAACGTATGGACTCGAGCATCTAGACCATGGGTCGTCCCTTGGGAAGGTTTTCAATTTTTTTAGACGAATGGACTTCATGAGGCCGACCATTTTGGTAACCACAACTATTGTCACTCTTATAGGGGTTCTTCGCTATCGTTCCCGTTAGTCTATAGATCTTTGTATTAGAGTTTTATCATTTATATTTGTCTCTTTGTTCGGTTAACGTTTTAGTTGATGTGATTTCAATGTTTATTATTTGTAATCAAACAATGTTTCATAATGTTTTAGAGCATTTCCAATGGTTAGCTTTATTTTTTTCTTCAAAATTTGAAGTTCTTCAAAAAATAAAATAACATATTCTCCAATGGTTTTGTTCTTTTTGTTCTTAAAAAAGAATATTTTAACTATATTCTATCACTATTTTATAATTATAATAACACCTTATATTCTTTTTAGATCTACTAATTTTACCCATTCATTTTGTTTTAACAATAATTCGACCCAATTACTATTTATTATAAGTTAAAAATTATTATATGATACAAGTATTAAACATAAACAAAGAATTTTAGAGAGTTGTCACAAAATATGGACAAACCTCAGGTCAATGTATTAATTTTGATAAATCATCTCTACTCTTTGGTAAGAGAATAGGACCGGACGTTAGGCAAGAGATTAAAGACACACTTGAGATTCAGAATGAAGGAGAGATGGGGACATAGTTGGGAATTCCAGAGGATATCAATGGATCTAAATGCAAGCTTTTTGCATTCTTAAAAGATAAGCTACGAAACAGAGTGAATGGATGGACGGGTCGGTGGCTATCAAAAGGTAGCAACGAGGTTATGATTAAGTCGATACTGTTAGCACTCCCGACTTATGTGATGTCATGTTTCCTTCTCCCATTGGAGATTTGTGATGCTTTAGCTAGTGCCATTGCACAGTTCTGGTGGAGTTCGAATCCCCCAAAGAGAGGTATTCACTGGTCAACATGGGATAAGTTATGCTTGTCTAAAGAGGAAGGGGGGATGGGATTTAGAATGATTCATGAGTTTAATCTGGCGCTGCTAACAAAGCAGTTATGGAGACTTGTCCAATTCTCAGATTCATTGGTAGCTCGAGTTTTGAGAGGCCGGTATTATCGTTCAAGTTCGCCATTGCGACAACTTACTGTCAATAGCCCATCGTATGTGTGGACAAGTATATCAGCAGTACGAGAATTATTATTTTTGGGGATTAGACAAAAAATTCATTCGGGATATGAGGTAAGAGTATGGGAGGATCCATGGATCCCTACCATTTCAGCAAGATCAGCGGTCCTATCTATAACGGTTTTACATCCGAATATGCGAGTGAGCGACCTAGTTAACCAAGAAATGAAGTCCTGGGATCTGAACCGGCCGGCGAATTACATAGATGCGGGTGATATACCACTTATAAGGAGTATGGCGATTAACACATCGCAGGGATACGTATTGCTGGAGTTATACAAGAAATGGACAATACACTGTCAAATATGGATATTGGGTTGCAAGAAATATACTGAGGAAGGAGGAGGAAGCTGTAGTTTGTGAACCTAGTATCACAAAACTTCAAGCACATGTTTGGAAGGTTAAGGCACCCCAGAAGATATGTCATCTTATGTGGCAAATAATAATAGGTCATGTGCCTGTTACAAGTACTCTGAACTATCGGCATATGAGATTTGATAACCACTGTCCACGATATGGGGAGCCAGAAGAATCAGTCGCCCATGAAATCTTTCAGTGCCCACCCGCAATGCAAGTTTGGGCCTTATCTTCTACACCTTCTAGTCTTCCCTTGTTTCCATTACAAAGCACATATGCAAATATGGACTACCTCTTCTGGAGGAAAAATGCCATAATGGAACCGGAAATGGACAGGGATCCTTATCTCTGGATAATTTGGTACATTTGGAAGGCTCGAAATGATAAGCTGTTCAGAGGTATTGATGGAGACCCGTTGGAGTTAGCACGATATGCAGAGAGTGAGTGCCAAGCCTGGTTTCAAGCAAATGAACAGATCACATTGTCAGATCAAGGGAACATAGATATTGAAAACCAGTCCATATGTCTGGGAGATATCTGTATGGTTGAAGGTTCTTGGACACCTACAACTCAATTCAGTGGATGTGGATGGGTTTGGAAGGATAGCGTGGGAAATAGCCAGCTAATGGACATGCAAAATTTTGGTAGATTGGAGTCTGCTTTGCACTATGAGCTGGAAGCACTGCGGTGGACAATGGAGAATATGCTTCAACATTCGCCATGTCAGAGCTTTGGGACGGATTGCAAGGAGTTGATAACGATGCTTAGAGATCCACACGGCTGGCCAAGTTTCTCGACGGAGTTAGAAAGGATCACGACGCTGCGGATTTGTTTTCCAGATTTCAAGATCTTCTATGTTCCTAGGACGCAGAATGGTGTTACTGACTCTTTAGCTAAATCTGCTCGATCTTTTTATTGAGAATTACTGTATGTTGGTTGTTCTATTCCGGTCTAGCTTCCCAGACCATCTCAAGCTTGAGTAATAGATCAGCCTTTCGTTGTTAAAAAAAAAAAACCAAAGAATTTTAGATTTTATAAAGAAACACTAAATACATATATATCTTAAGTGATTGATCACTATTTTGATTTAGAAATAAGCTTATTTTTATTCTAAATTCTTCTAAATTGAACATAAAATTCTCGGAGACTAATAATTTCATGTTCTTCATTATTAACATTTAATTAGATGTAAGTAATAATATAAAGTTTGAAATTAGTTGGATTACATTAACACTTCAATTTATTTAAGTACATAATAACAATAAGTTAAAGTTAAAAATTCCTTTGTAAATAAAAATGTTCATCTTCAAAAAATGCAGAACTAAACAATATTTCTTCAATTCTTCAAAATTTGAAGAAATGAAGAAAAAAAATACCATTGAAATAAAAAATAAAGCAAAAAGTAAAAAATGAAGCAACATTGGAGATGCTCTTTAGTTTGTTTACGGATAGACTAACTGAAAACTGGTTCGCTCGTAAAAGTGAAAGAGCATATCAACTCCGAGACGTTCTCCTATCTAATACATGTGGTCAATTTAAGATCGTGCTACGCTAAAGAAAGTCTATACGTGAGATGTTTGTGATCCAAAACAATCTCTACTGGAAAAATATAAGTGTTTATAATCAAGTCTCTCTTTCTCATCGCAAAGACATTAAGAGCCTCTTCCTTTTAGCCAGCCAACTAATGTTGTTTGTTTTGCAAAGGATCATCAACGTTTACAACTTACATAAAGAAAGATGGGCAAGAATACATCATTGATAGAACTATTATCACCTTTTGGGCTAGAGTATCGGCACAAGAATTTGAAGTTGTATTCAAACAAGAGAACTTGATGGAAGTGTACCTAATTAGGGATAGTGGTGATGTAGTTGCTGCTTATGTTGATAGTTGTTTTGATCTACGGCACCATTATCGAAGTTAAATCATATAAGCAGAGTAATTAACAAATTTTGACGTTTTCCATTAGTGGGAAAGAAAGTTTCATCAAACCCTTTAACATTTTTTTTAGTTTCACCGTTAAATTTTATTTAATTAAGAACCATAGTTTTCAAACAGCTCTACAGATGGTATATATAATAGATTCAAAATAAATTAGTTGTGGTCCGAGCAAATATCATAAGGAAATAAAAGAAATATGACTTTATAAAGAATGAAACGTTACATCAAAATGGATGTACTTGAAACTGAATAGAGGTTTGAAAAATATCAACTACCGTGTTGAATATTTTTCTTATTTTGACCTGTTATTCTAATTAATCGGAATAATAATTTAGACCATCTCCAATGATTTTCTTCGTTTTTCCCCTCAAAATGAAGTAAGCTCAAAATGAGATTGTAATTTGCTCAAATAGTTCTTTTTATTTTCTCCTTCAATTATTATTATATTAATTTTTAACTTCTTATTTATTTCAAATAACATCTTTTATTTGATAAAATTTTAGATTACACTCACTTATTTTAAAATTCTAAAATTTAACCAAATTTTAACTTATGAAAAACAAATATTTATTACATTGCACGTTGTTCATGATTATTAAGTTATTTTAATTAATATTATATTAAATTTGTCTTTATGTTTAAAGTTGTTACATGTTGTGTTAAGTTTGTTGTGTTAAGTTTGTTGTGTTTTTTTCTTAACTTTGTATTATTAATGGTATTATACTATTATTTTATTCTATTTTCTTTTAAGTATATATTATAATTTATAAAATTCTAAATTCTAAATTATATTTATTTACTAATTATTCGTACTTATATTTTAAGAAGTTTAATCTATATATACATTGTGTGTCGAGTATTTGAAAAATGACTGGTGGTGAAGTTTGTTTAAATTAATAGTAGTCTTAAAAATCCCTAAACTTAATAAGAATTATAATATACTAGGGTTGGCCCCACTTACGGACGGGTTAGTTATTAAAAAAATACATAATATATTATTAACTTTATTAAATATTTTAAAATGATTAGTTTACTCTAAATTGAAAGTAATCTCTATTTCAATAAGTAAGATTTTCTGGTTTTTATTACAGTAAAAACTTATAATTATAATACAAATATTACAATTATACATATATTTCAAATTCTAAAAATAACAACTATATATTTCTACATATTATCTAAGGCAATTCTCTTAGTTAGATCTTTAAGTTTTTTTATCACAAATTAGACTTCAAAATTAAAATGACCAAAATAGCATTTTTTATTTTGAAATTTTATGTTTTTTTTTGAAAAAAAATTTGAAACTCTATCCCCTAAACGCCAGTCCCAACTCTAAACAAAAAAGTTTAGGATTAGTTAACCTAAGGGGTATAAATGTATATTTACTTATTTTTGATAAAATATTTAAATCTATTTAAATCTTTTTATTTTTAAGGTCTATATTTATGACAAAAATCTTTTTAGGTTTATCCTAGAGAATTTCTCTATTATCTATTTTGGGTAACACTGATATTTTTGAAAGGATGCTTGTTATATTTCTAACATGCTTTTTAGCATATCTTTTGATATTTTTTTCTGAAAACTTGAAATGCTGATAAAAACCCACACAATATAATTTATTTCACTTTTTAAGCAGTTTGTCGAGTGGAACGATACGTC